ATATATAAGATATAGAAAAAATTATCTAAAATAAATTAAAAAAAACGTCTTTGCCATCTATCCTGGGTAATTTTATTATAATAAATTTTGCAAATATTATTTGCATTTGCATATATTTTGAATATATGAATATTTCATTTCAAAAATTTAAATGTCAACCCCGTATAGAGTATGCAAAAGACGTCCTCGCCACCTGCCCAGGGAATTTAATTTGTACTAATCGATAAAATTTGCAGCAATATTGCTAATTTCAATTTATTATATATAGAACAACCATTGTTATGTATATTTATATTTATAAATATAAAATAATGTAGATCTTTCATTTTTCCGTCCTTGATTTTTAATCGTCCTTAGAGAAAAAAAACAATGGCTAATTATTATTGTTTATATTTCTTAAAGATAAAGATGTGAATGCGAAACGTAGAATATTGTTTATATTAATAGAAATATATACATATATAATTGGTGATAAAAATGTTTAACAAATTGTGTGTGATTCATATTCATTAAACAATCGAATTAATTATTAGAATTAAAACAGAGATTAACAATCTATTATTACTATTTTTGAAATTTTTGTATAATTCGGATGATTTAGACTTCTGTATGAGTATTCTCAGCGTATCACAGATGGTGCTAGTGTGCTTCAAATTCACGTTTAAAATATATTTGATATTTTGATCTCATTCAATTTAATCAAATTAATCAGATTCATCTTTTCTATATTAAATGTTTATATAAATCTTATCTAGAATTGAACCTAAGGGTAAAATTACATGCTATGGTTGGTGGCGACCTCTGTGATATGCTAAAAGAATTAATATTGATGTAATTTCATAGCAGCCGTGTTTGCCATCTATTTATACTTGTTTATCTATGGATCTATAAATTTTGAATCTAACAAAAAGTTAATTTTATACATATATAACAATATGTATGTATATATAAATTTATTACCTATTATTTATTATTTATTACCCACAGTTTTAAAAATCCCAACCTCAACGTGTTTGTTTTATCTATGTTTCACCACAAAACAACTCTAATTTTTTTTTGTCGGGTTTCCAGGACATTCCAGGAATTCCTGTGTTGTCCTGTTACCTGATTTTTTGCAAAAACGAGGCAGGTGTCGACAAAGGACGCAAACATTTCATTCAGGTAAAAACAGGCCAAGAATTTAGTAGGAAAAAAGGAGAGGGAGATCTAGGAAGGACGGAAGGGAGTAGAGAAGATAGAGATACAGAGGGAATAGAGAGAGAGAGAGAGAAAGAGAAAGATAAAGAGAAATAGAAAGAGAAATAAGAGAAAGAGAAAGAGAAATAGAAAGAGAAAGAGAAAGAGAAATATAAATAGAAAGATAAAGATAAAGATAAATAGAAAGCTAAATATAAAGAGAAATATAAAGAGAAAGAAAGATAAAGAGAATATCAATATAATAAAAGAAAATAAATATAAATATAAATATAAATATAAATATAAATATATATATATATATATATATACATAAAAATAATCCATCTCCCATTTTTTCAATATTCTGTCTTTGCCATATTGCTCATGAATATATTTTGTTTTGGCAGAAGGCCTGATGATGAAACGTAACAAGTTCCGAAACGTTTTCAAAAAAATGTATATAAATAACACATTTCAAACAAATTTTAACGATGTTGTAAAGAAAATAATGCGCTATAGAATTAAAGGAAAAAGAGAGAAGTAAATCTTTTCAGTTTTTTTTAAATTAGATTTTTTGATAATTTTAAATTTTCTTCAAAATTTTGAATTTTTTTTAAATGTTCGATTTTTTTGAAATTTTTGAACAAGAATCGATTTTTTTTTAAATTATTTGAGTAATTGGTAATTTTTGAATATATTCGACCTCTTAAAAAATTTTGTAAGAAATCGATATGTTTAAAATTTTGATATTTTTTTAGGTTTTTCAAAATATAGATTTTTTTGAAAGCGTTTTTTTGCACACCGTCTACACAAGGAAAAGGTTTTTTGAATAAATCTAATCGGATGATCAAATAGCATTATTTTTTCTTTTTTTTATTGAAACTCCGTACGCGCTGGACCCTACCTTTCCAAAATTTTGAAGAATTTTTCGTTTAGTCAATACAAATTTGTGTATGTGTGTGCGTGCGTGTGTGTGTGTGTGTTCGGATACAAATTTTCGTCGACGATTTCGGGAACACACGAATGAAGCGATTTGAATAATTCAAAAAACATTCGATTCGTATTGATAAGGAGACGTGCTGATTAGTTTTTGGCAAAGGCAGGTCTAGCTGTTCCGAAGATATGGGTCAAAAAGTGCCAGAAACGGTAACTAAGTTTTTAAGAGAACGGAGCGTCCGATTTGAATAATTCAAATAACATTTTACTTGTATTAACAAGATGAAGAACTGATCAAATTTTCATGAAGGCAGGTCTAGCGCTTTCGGAGATCTAGTAAAAAAAGTAAAAAAAAGCCATTTGGCGGTCAAAAATGATCATTAGACATATGCACATCAAATTATCAGATATTTTATAGAGATTTTAACAATAAGTATGAATTTTGTTTATATTCCTATGGGTTCCGTACCAATGTTTACGCGTTAGACGGCGACGCGGCGCTTATGCGCTTTGATATTTCGTCTCCTATGCAGTTAAAGCAGTACGATTGGCTTTGGAAACAAGTTCAGAATTTCCAAAATATTTCAAAATACGCTTTTCTTCAAGTCTGTTTTTCAAAAAAAAAGTAAATTTTTGTCAAAAATTTATAGTTTCTCAAAATTTAATTTTTCAGAGTAAATTTTTTTCAAAAATGTTCATCTTTTTGGAAAAAAAAATTTTGGTGCGGGAAGTTCCAGCAATTTGCCTTAAGGCACGATGCCATGCGCCCCACTAGTTACAATAATGTCCGTAAATGTCTGAGCAATGTCGAGTTCGAAATACTGAGTGTTAGTGGAGTTTGCCGTGAATTTTATTCAAACCAACAACGGGAAGTTAAAAGAAATTATAGAAGAGAAAATCTTGGCAATGTGCTACATGTATAAAAAATCATTCTAAAGGACTTTTTCGAACGTTCAGAGTAAAACTCTTGCGCGCTAAGGAATAGCAGTTAATTATCGATTGTCATACAATTACCATTAGCTCTTTGTCTATTCAAAAAGAATTTTTGTTTACTAATTTCAATCAGTTCCTGCCAAAGACAATACATAGTGTATGTATATGGTTCGACTCCCGGCCATTCGTTTCATATTATATGTTATCGTGAAGCAGTTGTGTTGCATAAACATCGAGAGATAAAACGACGTTTTCGCCTCTAATATCATAATTTATGCATTTCGTGTGCATTTCTGGTGCCTCTCGTTCGATTTATCTAATACCTATTGTTATCATAAGAGGGCCCCCTTATGCGGGTTGTAAAAGAATTTTATATTGGTAATATTCAATGGCGCCATAATTGACCAATTGCAATTGCAATTGCAAAAGTAAAAAAATATTTTTAACTTCCCGTAGGGCCGTAGGATAAGTTATTGTAATCGTCCAAAAATCGAAATTGATTTTTTTAACAAATGACTTTTTAAATTTTTGTAACAAACTTTTTTTTAAGTAAAATACGACATTGAAGTATTTTTTGTCTCGACCGGGTATGTTAAACCCGCAGGGCGACGTAGTTTACAGAAGTGCGCAAGTGCGTCATTTTTGTCAGGCAATATATGTATATAATTTTAAATTAATAATTAATAATTAATAATTTTGTATTCACGTATGGTAAGTTTTAAAAAAAAAGTCGAAAATGATTTTTTTTATATATATTGACGTTTCAGAGGTACATATCTGAATATTTTCGCACACCTTACAAAAAATTGATGTGTGTATAAGCATGTGTGGATATAATTTTTCGTCGACGATTTGAAGAACACGGATCAACCGATTTGAATGATTCAAAAAACATTCGATTCGTATTGATGGGGATACGGACGCTCTGATTAGTTTTTGGCGAAGGTATAAATTCAGTAGCAAAATTAAAATTATTTATTTGAAGTATATGAGTCATCTTTAGAATTTTAGCTAGAATAACAAGTAAAATCAAAATCACTATCGATATACAAAATATTTGAATTTTTTTAAATTAATTTTAAATATTTAATTTTATATTTATATTATTTTTCAAGTCTGAATATTTAAAATTTCTCCAAATTATTTTGCAAGTTTACATTGAAATCCCTTCAGATTATTTTAAAAAAGCACTGACGATGAATCAAACCAAGACTCGAAACGTATGCAATTTTAACAACCACATTCTACTTTACTAATTTTTTTTAACTTCCCGTAGGGTAAGTTATAATAATAGCAAAAAAGTCGAAAATAATTTTTTTTATATATCTTTACGTTTCAAAGGTTTCTGAACACTTTGGTATACATTAGAGAAAATAGATGTAATGTATGTGTGTGCGAATACAATTTTCCGTAAAGACGATTTTGAGAGCACGGATCAACCGATTTGGATGATTCAAAAACCATTCGATTCGTATTGACAAGGAGACGTACTGGTGAATTTTTGGCAAAAGCAGGTCTAGAAGTTTCGGAGATACGGGGCAAAAAGTGCCAAAAACGGTAACTCAGTTTTTAAGAGAACGGAGCGTCCAATTTGAATGATTCAAAAACATTTTATTTGTATTAACAAGATGAAGAACTGGTCAAATTTTCATGAAGGTAGGTCTAACGGTTTCGGAGATCCAGTAAAAAAAAAGTAAAAGAAATGCCATTTGGCGGTCAAAAATGATCATTAAACATATGCACATCAAATTGTCAGATATTTTATAAAGATTATTATATATATATATATATATATATATATATATAATTCTAAAAAAATCTCTGAATGAACATCATCCTGTGTCTGTCACCCTCTTAACATCTTTCATTCAAGATGTGCAATATATAAATATATTTACATATATACAAACAAGACTCGACTATAAATACAAATGCATTATATTTTTAGCACTAACCAAAGACATCAAGCCATCCTTCGACTCTGCTTGGATAAATCGGACACTTCAGCCGACTCATATCTTTCTTAAATAAAAGGAACAAAAATTTAACACTACACCAACACACAAGGACACTACAGGATAATAGTTTATTATATTCAATTATTTATTAACACTACACATGACACACTTTGGGACGGTTTTCGTTGTAAAAGAAAACCGGGGCATGGTAATAATATATTAGTAAATTATTGTTTTAATGGAGATACAATGCACGACATATTACTGGTGCAACGGCTGTCACACAACTGACTGCCATGATTGCGATGAAGAGTGAAGTGATGCAACTGTCAAGATTAAACAGCGCTGCCATCTTTACTGATTTCAAATAAAAGGACATGTGAGAAATTATTAACACTTTCGGGACGGCATCAATTTCAAAATATTAGGTTGTCAAATATCTCCCTTCCGCTTTTTTGCTCTTGGTTTATAATACAAAAAGGCGGAAGGGAGATATTTGACAACCTAATAATATACTTTACCGGCTGTAAACTTGATTTCATTGTGTTTGTTATGCAATTTGTTTGATGAAAATTTGTGGTCATTGAAGGACATACATTTATAATATTAATTTTTGATCATTTTATAAAGAATGGTGACGTTCAAAACAATTTCCAAAATGCATAGCTGGTTGATTTTGACATATTTTACAATTAAATGTTGTTCGCCGCCTTCCTCCTGGTGCTTTTCTGTCAGAACAGACAATACAATCCCTTTTTCTTTTAGAATTTAGAATATGTCACTGATTAGTCAGTATATTTGTTAATTTTTTTGCGGCCATAATGGTTTATTAACTTCCCGTATGGTAAGTTATTGTAATGGGCCGAAAATCGAAATTCAAAATTTTTACATTTCCCGACGTTTTGAAGGTTTCTGAACGTTTTGGCATACCTCCGAAAAAATGGATGTGTGTCTGTGTGTGTGTGAGTGTGTGTATGTATGGATACAAATTTCCAGTCACGTTTTCGGGCGCACGGATCAACCGATTTGAATGGTTCAAAAAACATTCGATTCCTATTGATAGGGAAAAGAGCTGATTAGTTTTTGGCAAAGGCAGGTCTAGCCGTTTCGAAGATACGGAGCAAAGAGTGCAGAAAATAGAAATCGACTTTTTGAGAGAACGGAGTATCCGATTTGAATGATCTAAAAAACATTCAATTAGTAATGATTGGGAGAAGT